ACGCTCTCAAGTGCGACACAATACTTGTTGCACTCTTGTTGGATGAACAACCACCTCTTTTGAATCGAGGTGATGCCACGGTTGCTCGTAATTTGGTAGGGCTCAAACATCTTTATTTCATGGAATGTTTTGTGGACTCTCGTCCAAAAAACAAGGTCCTTTTGTTGCGCGCCGATCCTCGGATCTTGGCTAATCTCCATCCAACATTGACAAATCAACTTGTCCTCGTCTTGTGAATAAGAACCCGTGCGAATGCTCTTCTTCCTCTTTTGTGCTTCCGCTCTTTGGGTGAACTCGTCGATGAACAATGGCTCGCCCGAAATATCAATATCAATGCCATCTTCATCACCATCACCTAGCAATAGATGTCATCATCTTCATGCCATGGGTCACCATGGTCGTAATCTGCATGGTCGTGGGCCTCTTCATCCGCAACATACTGGGCGTGGCCATCCTGACTTTGGGTCTCGTCGGGATCGTAGGCAATGCCATGCCCACCCTCGTAGATCACTTGCTCCATGAACTAGTTGTAGAAGGGGTCGTCGACCGTTGGCGTTGGTGTTGCCATTTTGTCGAACAGGATGCGGGTCGACAACATGGCGCCCGTAAATGGTGGTCGTGATTGATTTATTTGCATCTCCATGGATGGCCCGCCGCCGCTGCTGGACCCTGGTGTGACATTGAGGTCGATGACGGCCGAGGGGCGCGGGGTGGACGGCACGATCACGCCAATGTCTGGCGAGCCCGAAAAACGGGTGTGGCTATCATGCCTTGGCGAGGGAAAGTCGGGCGACATAGGCGTGGTCCGCGACGTCGGCGACGAGCAATGCTGAGGCCTGGTGAACGACGAGCTTGTGCTTGCCGGGCCGACGGCCACACCAGAGAAACCTGTCAGACGGCAAAGGCCAGGCATTAGGAGGGCGTGCGCTTTGTTGACGATGGCCTCCTTCTCGTCGACCTCAGCCTTGCACCGTGCCGCCTCCACTGCATCACGTTGGGCGGCGAACTTGGCGGTGGCGGTCTTGCCCTTGACGGCCGCCCTCCGGTTCCTCCTCTTCGCCGATTCAGCGTCCATCTTGGCGAGCTCCTCCGGCGTGCACTCCGACCACGGCTTCCTTGGACCACTACTAGAGAAAAGCTTACTAGTGGCGCTGGTTTTTTACATACCAGTAGCGCCGGCACCCGCGCTACTGCTAGGGCGCTACAGCTATTATTTAACAGTAGCGCGTTTCTGAACAAGTGCTGCAGCTAAAATACTTATCAGTAGTGCTGCTTTCTCCACCAGCGCTACTACTATCATCACGTAGTAGTAGCGCCATGTTTTCTCCCCATGCTACAACTAGGCAAATAGAAATAAAAAATAAAAAAAAGCAGTCAGGTGCAATATTCATGGAAATCAAGACATGTCCAGTGCAAATAAACTAAGTTCACAGAACCATCTCAAAATCATTAACGATAGTACCACATTTAATATAACCACACAATCTCACAAACTCATATAGTAGTCAACAATGCATGGATGGATCATAGTTGATAAGTCTACTAGGTAGTCATACTAGCATATATATGGTTCAACAGCCACACGCATGCATATGAAGTTCTAGATGATGTCAATGACGACCATCATCCTCAAGCCTGGGCGGTGGGTGTTCCTGATAGTAATTAGGATTGCATGTCCAACATGAAGATTCTTGCCGACGAGGAAGCTCTTCCACTCAACCGAGTTGAAGTGTGTGCGACCGTCCGTGTTCATGCCATACGCACAAGTGGTGACAGAGCCCCTTGCGGTAAGGCGTATTCCAGCAGAGCCTTCTTCATCAGGCTTGATACCACAACTCTCAGATAGGCTCTTTGCCAATTTATGAATAAGAAAAACATATCAATTAATAAGTATCCTCACACATTCTACACGAAGCATATATATCATCGGACTCTACACTAAGTATATATATCATCGGACTCTACACTAAGTATAACAATAAAGCATATAAGATTCACTAAGCATATAAGATTCACTAAGCATATAAGATTCACTAAGCATATATATCATCGGACTCTACACTAAGTATAACAATAAAGCATATAAGATTCACTAAGCATAGATTCACTAAGCATATAAGATTTAGTAAGCATATAAAATTCACTAAGCATATATATGATCGGACTCTACACTAAAGTATAACAATAAAGCATATAAGATTCACTAAGCATATATATCATCGGACTCTACACTAAGTATAACAATAAAGCATATCATCAAATTACTCTAAAAACTATAGTAAATGCAACATACCATCATATGCCGATCAACCATGGTACTTGTCAGGCGGGTCATGAATGGCACCCCGACAAAGTCAGCACATGGCGGAATGATGTCCCATAGGTTGCACACCTCCTCCTCACTCAACTTCATTCTTTGAGCTATGATGGCATCACCGAGTGGGTCGTCATCATCCTCATCATCCACATCATCCTCATAATCTTCTGCTTTGTTGATATAAATCACGGCCAGCTTGGGTCTTTCAGCTCTGAAGGAGAAGCTGATCAACTCACCACCGGTGATACGCATGTTGTCGATGAAACGGACCCATCCATCTCCTCCCACCTGCGTCATCTTTCGTCCTTTCTCGATCTCCATAGTGTAGGGGCCCCCAGGAGCCTCAAAGGTCACAGAGTCTCCAGTCAGATTATTGAATTCTGACCTCACATTGCATGGGGCGATCTGTGTACAAAAAGCAAAATGATATATACACGATGCATTAATGCCAATAACACTAAAAACAAAATAGTAGTTACTAGTTTCATATAATTTATTACCGCCGCATGAAGAAAACTAGACTCGAAGTAGATGCCAAACAGCGTGCCAGTTGCAAGGCTGCTGGCGCACCTTGACTTGCACCGAAAACATGGTGGTGGTGGTGGTGGCGCCATTTCCCTAAAGCAATATGATTAAAGGATTAACGATCCAAAAAGTAAACATAAAGTTTTCATAGCTAGAGTTCACATGGCAAGCAAAATAACAACTAAAAAGTAAACATAAAGTTCAGTCCAACAAAGAAGCTAGTGGCAGTAGCCAAGAATTGAAACCCTCAACCGTCGCTGTCATATCAGAGCTAAAAAAATGCTCACGATTCTACGTTCGAGCACTATGGTGAACCCTCAACCGTTGTCGTCATATCAGATCGAGCTAGACGACACCAGGGCTCTAGGAGCGTATCTCGAAAGCTCCCATGGCACCATTTCAGAAGGGGAGCCAATCCTACGACCACCATCGACAAACTTGAGCGTGTGGAGGCATGAAACGACACACGGCAGCCGACGCCGCCCGTGGCTCCTCTTCGGAAAAGGCACGACATGGACGCCCCCTCTCTAAACCCTAGAACACTAGGCACCGCCGCCGCCACCACTCCTCTAGGGGCAGCAGCCAAGAATTGAAACCCAAGTTTCAATTATATGTGCTAAAAGCCTCTACAATTCTCTAGCTACTTCTCTCTACTCTCTCCTAAGTTTCAGTGAGCAACGAAATCCTCTACTCTCTCCCCTATGTGATACTAATTAACAGTAGGATCTAGAGATGCATATGTGATACTAATCCTATTAATCCATATGTGATACTAATCATATTAATCCATATGTGATACTAATTAACAGAGAGGGGGAATTCCCGCAAAAAAACAAAGAGGGCGGAGCGCCGCGTAGGGGCAGCAAGGGGAGTGGCGAGCCGCCGCGGCAAATTGATTGGAGCCATGCATCGAAGTACTGAGCCGCCGTGCAATCCCTAAATCCCAAAACATGGCGAGCCGCCGCGGCAAATCGATTGGAGCCTAGCTAGTGTGGCGCGCGCAGGGAGGAGGAGATCGAGAGGGGGACTTACGGGGCTGGAGCGGAGGAGGCGAGAGGCGACCACGCGTGGTGGCGGCGCACGGCACCGTCGACAGGGGTGAGGTGGCCGGGGACGAACCCTAACCGCGGTGGCGTCGTCGGGCGGAAGGGATCGATTGTGAGAGTGAGGGGGTGCGGGGGCGCTTGATCGGGCCGGTTTTCTTTAGCTATAGTAGTAGCGCTGGTTGGAGCACCACGCTACTGCTAAGCCCACCAGTTGTAGTGCCCTTTCAGAACAAACACTACAGCTAAGTGGGCTACTGTTTCTGCCCTGCGGCCCATGTAACAGTAGCGCGGCCCAAGCAAACAAACGCTGCTGTTATATGTTAGTAGTAGCGTGTTTTCTACACAGCGCTACTGGTAAGTACTAGTAGCGTGGGGTCACAAAAACGCGCTACTGATAAACTTCTATCTATAAGCATTTTCCTAGTAGTGGACCCTTGGCCTTCTTCTTCTTCACTTTTGCAGGCGGGTCGATGGCCAGGCCGCCAGAATTCGGCGGGGCATCGGCCATGGACGGGGGAGGGTGCGGGGCGGGACGTGGGAGGGTTTGGGGGGAAATGTCGCCAAATGTGGCGCGGGGTTTTTTGCTTTGTGCCACCGACGGGCGGGCCAGGGGAGGACACACACGTTCCGCCCGTCCGCGTGCTGTCCGTTTCACCCCAGAAGTGGCGTAAAGTTAGAGCGGGAATGGGCCGAAAGCGGACAAAAAACGGACAAAAGTTCATTTGCCCCCGGGTGCCGGGCCGTCTGGTTTGTCCGTTTTGCTCCAAACGAACGCACCCGGACATGATGGGGTGGCGCGCTGGAGTTGGCCTTAGGGCCCTGTGGGAGCGCACATGCCGCTCAACGGCCCTGCCTACAGCTCACAACTACTGGCCATGCCATGAGCAGTTAACAGCAGTGTTATTCCATAGTCACATGGGCATGTGAGGATTCACCGCCCAAATCATACTTTAAAAGTAGTCAACTTGAATATGTTCGGACAGTGTCGTGAATAAATTAACCAATCATCAACCGGACTAAACGCCGTTGGTTCTACTATATACATGCCCTTCCAACGCAAAGACACGAGAAGCCTATAGCTAGGTAGCTTCTTCCCCCCACATCCTACAGCTATGGCCGCCGAGGAGCCCGCCTATTTCCGTAGTGTTCCTCTTCAGCAAGAGATCCACCAAAGGGAGCTTCGCTTCGAGCTGTACATGCGCCAGATCGATAAACCCCACGGAGACCAGCAAAAGAACCAGGAAGTTATAGTGGACAAGAAGCAAGACAACGAGTATGGCACCCTGGCTGTTCAAGACTGGACCGTACGGGATGGCCCTGGAGACGAGGCAAAGGATGTTGCGCGTGCCCAGGGCCTGCATCTTGGGGCCAGTAGTACCAAGGAAACCACAATCTGGTTTACCTCTTTCAGTATAGTGTTTACCGGCGACGGCGATAGGTTCGTCGATCAACGCCTTTTCGGCTTGCTGTAATTTCTATCAGTGCTCAAGCCTTTCTTTTTGTTCCCCCGTTGATCCTGTAATTTTCCAATGCATCCATATTCCTGCAGTGATAAATTTCCCCTTAAGTTCAAGGGATCCAGCCTTCAGGTGATGGGAACCTGGAACGGAGAAGGCAGTACCAAATTGGCGATCACCGGTGGGACCGGAGAGTTTGCCCGTGCACAAGGTTTTGCCACTCACACAATAGACAAAGATTTTGAGCATCATGGCAGCATCAGGAAGCTTGTGATCGATGCTATGTGCCTCACCTTCCCGACCCCGAAACAAGTCAGATATATCTCCTATCACTTCTTTTACTATCGCGTGTTTAATTATGAGAAATTTTAGGATGCTTATTGGACTGTTCACTGTCCACTAAAAACGGTCGTTCTTGAACATCAACATGCATGCCTTCAAATTACTACTCGTTACAATTTACAATACATAGCCATGCATGTGTTTTTTTAGACAAGTTCATGCATCTTACTTTCAAACTTCCAACAAATTTTTTTGCAACGATATTAATTGTTAAACCTCCAAAATTCTGGCTATTTGTAAAGATACTTTTGTTAAAGTTCTACAAAAAGTTTGACAGTACTCTTATCTAAAATGACAACTTCTACAAGACCAGACCGAGTAGGAGGTTATAGTGTAGAAATGGACATATCATGGTTAGTATGCACTTTCCACTATCTTTTTAAGCCAGGAATGTACAAAAGAATGCAAATAACAATGGTGAGTAATCAACTCTAGCGTGATTAATTACGTAGTGCTACCGAGTTTGCACTTGTCAGACGTTGTGAGAAATATGGACGTTAAATTTAGCCAAAATAATAGAGAGATCATAATGGAAACAACAATAAAAGTAACAGAAACAAAACATGTTTAAGAAAAATATTTGATCCTTCTTTGTTTTGCCTGTTTGAATCTGTTTCTTTAATAAAAATTGCCTGAGCCAAGGCCCGTAAGGTCAACGGAGCTGGAAAACAGCAGGCCTTCCTTTTTGAGCGCCCGGTCCAGGCGAATTAAGCCCATTGTCTGTATTAGACTCCATGCTAAGCAAAATGTAAGCTTACTAGGCCAGGCTAGTAAGAACAACTTTCATAGGACAGCAACCAAGCACTCCAGGCCAGGCATGACTGAGAGTGGACACTATCGAAACTAATGGGTTCTCTTTTTTTTGCGAGAATTTTTTTATCTATTCATCAACTATCAAGGCAGTACAAAGAACACTAGAGATAAAAATTACATCTAGATCCATAGACCACCTAGCGACGACTGCAATCACTAGAGCGAGCCGAAGCGCACCGCCGTCATCGCCCCTCCATCATCGGAGCCGGACAAACCTCGCTATAGTAGACAGCCGTGAAGTCGTGGTGCTAAGACCCAAGAGGACCAACGCACGAGAACAAGAGTCACCGCTGATGAAGAGAAGCATAGACCGGAAAGATCTAACCTGAAGACACACAAACACATACGAACGAAGACCGGGTCCAAGTGAATCTACCGAAGACAAACGCCGACCGAGTACCGAGAGATCCGTCGGAGACAAATCTCCACACGCCCTCTGATAATGCTAGAGTCATCACCGAAACAGGGAATAGGCGGGGAGAACCTTATTCCAACATCAGAAAGCCGCCGACGTCTTGTCTTCCTGGACAAAACACAAACCCTAGACGAACACGAAAAAGCACCTAAAAACGATGTAGGAGCCCTCCCGCCGGCAAGAGTCGAGATCCACTGTGTCTCCATGGCCTGAAACCACGGAATGCAAAGCAAGCTACGGCGGCGCCAGCAGGGGATGTCGGTTCCTGGTCGCCCTCGCGCGAGCGCACGAGGTGAAGGCCTGGAATTTGGTTGGCTACCCAGCACCAATGAGTTCTCACACCCCTACTAGTCAGGCTACCTCCCATGCCTACTGTCGCGCAGTAGAGCATGATCACATTGACATACACCAAGCAGGGTAAGATCAGACTGCATAAAACTGAAGAACAAAAGAAAGACACTTTAAGAAACTCATAGCAAAAATACGTTGCAAAACTGCCATGGCAACTATTTACTATACAAAAGAGATGGTAGCTACATTGTGTTCATCTCAAAAAATTGTTGATAATTTGATGTGTTTGCTGCACAAGCACTCTGCAAAAAATATGTTTGCCATGGAAATCACATGAATATGGAAGCACTCTGCAAAATCTGTTGCACCTCTACCTAGAACACATGCCAATTTGATAGGGGAGGTGGGATACTACCTGTAGGGGAGGCCGGGGGATGCCGGGAGGGAGCCGACGCCAGCAGGAGCCAGGTGCGGTGCATTGGTACTCACTATGGCACGCGAGGACCACACATAGATGCCGTGACGTCGGCGGCGTCGGCGCATGCGAGTAGGTGCCGGTGGTCACCGAGGCGCGCTTGAAAAAATGGAGGCGGCCTGGTGGCGGTGGAGCTCGAACCCCCTCCTCCGCCAAGCATTCCCTCGCCGTCAACCGGATCAATTTGTTCTTCACCGCCGCCGCGGCCTCCGCCTGCCACCGCCTGCCTCGCCAGACGCGTCCATGGCGCTGCCCAGGAGAACTCGCCATCGGGGCTCCTCCCGTCGGGAATCGCTGGAGCCACCGCTCCCCAGCGGCGGTACATGTCGGGAACCGCCTGGTGCCGCTCCCCTCCGCCACCATCACTCTCTCCCGCCCCCCTTTGTCTGTGCCGCCATGGCGCCGTTCCCCTGCGTAGCCTCGTGCCCGCCGAATGCCGCCGTCCCGCAGGGGCAATAACATGGTGCCCCCCGGTCGCTGCCCTCCCGCAGCCTCGCACCGCACTTGCGCCACGCTCCGACCACCATCGACGTTCGCCTTTGTCCCTGCCTACACAACGCCGGCCGCCTCTCCTTCGAATCCGGTAGCGAGGGGATAAGGTAGTGGGAGTGAGGGGGAGTGGGTGTTGCTGGAAGTGGATGGACGACGAGGGAAGAAAATGTCGTCCGAGCGACTTCGCCCCCGACCGAACAACCCGTTGGGATGACATGGCTAGACTCTTGCCCCAAGATGCGTGCGTTTTAATCCAACGGCAAAAGGGCGTTCAAACCGAATATTTTTGTGTCACATGTGTGGGCGTTGTCATTTGAGAATGTTCATAGGACAAGGGAATTCAGGTTCGCGGCAAAGGGAAAATCGCTTTTATTTTTAATGGAACACAATATCTATTCGGCCCAGCATAACCAACGGAATCGGTACAATGGGAAACATACCGTCTGTAGGGAACGAATTTGAAGGAAATAGATCGTCGTTAGTTCTGCAGACAGACCGGGTATTTTTTATCTTTCTCTCTCCCCCGCGTCATTAATTTTCTTACGTGGCTGACATTACAGACGTCCCTGCTTCTTCCTACCCAAAGACACATTCTTAATAACGCCTTTAATTGTACCATGCTAATAATTTGTACATATAAGTACATATGTAGGTAGTTTGTTCTGTATCCTTTTTTTCTAAAACAAGATGTTGTTCCTCTGCATATGTGTGTAGGTTCGTGTAAAGAAGTCGGGACCATGGGGTGGGAATGGAGGAGAAGAACATGACATTCTAGAGCTGAAACCTCAACGTCTAGAAAGTGTGACCATTACAAGTGGCATTGTCATCAACTCAATTGCATTCACCTGCATCGATCAAGCCCAACAGAAGCACAACATTGGTCGTCCATGGGGCCGTGATGGTGAACTCCCTGCGGACCTGGGCCGTGAGACGGTGGGTGAATCCTTACAATCTACCATTAGTGAACTTTTTTATGCAACTATTATCGTATTGATAGAGCTGATACAGATAATTTCCATTCCAAAATAAGATGCATTTAGGAACAGAAAGAGCAGGGTATAGCTAAGTCCTGACAAATGCTTTAGCTTTACTTTAATTAATATCACTGGGAATACTCCCCATAAAAATAAATAAATCTTCTGGAATACTAACCATAAATACGCCAATGCTAGTTCCATCTACTTTTGCATGGAAGAAAATAATCAATGATCTCTTTCTGTGCAGATCCATTTTACTCGTTCAGAAATTGTGAAAGAAGTTTCCGGAACATTTGGTACTTTTCGTGGAGATACTATTGTGACATCACTTACTTTCGTCACTACTTTGAGGACACATGGACCTTTTGGAAATCCAAATGGTACTGCTTTCAGTGTGCCTAACACTAACATTGTGGGCTTCTTCGTGCGTGCTGGGAGCGTTGTTAATGCACTTGGAGTGTATGAATTGCTCGAGAATAACAACTACTAATGCTTTTGGACGGGCCAAAATGTTGCCGGTTGCTTTGATCTCATTTATTACTACTTGTTTTCCTTTTATGGCATAGGACATTGTTAGGCTGGTCGTAATGCAAGTATCATAACTAGTATCATGCAGGCCAACTAAGAGAATTTATCGAAGTGGCATATAATTAAATGAAGAAAGAGAGAGTTGAATATCTTATCATGATACCATATCATAATAAATGTTATGCTACTATGTGTCATGCATGACAATAAATATGGTCATCTATGATGCTACACATTACCCGTGGTAGTATTATACACCAGTATCAGATGCATTATACTAAGTTATGATAACCCACTACGGGCAGCATTATGTAAGATTACATGCACAGTTCACGCACCGTTCGTGCGCGGCTGCACTAGTAGAGAAACACCTAATAGTCCCGGTTCGTAAGGGCCTTTAGTCCCGGTTCATGAACCGGGACTAATGGGTCGTTACTAATACCTCCACCCATTAGTCCCGGTTCAAACACGAACCGGGATCAATGTGCCTACACGTGGCATGTGCACCGAGCCCAGTCAGGAGGGCCTTTGGTCCCGGTTGGTG